TTTTTCGAAAATGATTTTATGTCCTTTTAAGATCAATTTTGATGCAGACAAAAGATTATGTTTAATTTTTGGTACTATGAATACCTCAATACTTATGGTTTGACCTTGACATTCAGCTTTCAACAATCCTTTTTTATTTGTTTTTAAAATTTCACCATTTGCAATATGTATGGATACAGGATTTGGCAAGGTTTCAATGTTAAACATATATTTTTCAAGATTTGCTTGAACAAAATGATTACTAGCCCCTGAGTCTAATACGAGTCTAGTCTTGCCTTTAAATTCATTGCATACATTTGCAGCATATAATATTATTGGTTGTGGATCTTCATTCTCTTCATGGTATTGACCTGCAGTATTAGCTTGCTGATTTCTTTGACCTCTATAAATGTGACCTCTGTGATTATTATTTCTTCCTCGATAATTCCCTCTATATGAACCTCTGTAACTGTTATTCGACTTTGTACTTCTTTTTGGACACTGTGATTGATAGTGTTGAAAACTTCCACATGTAAAACAGCCTTTACTACTTGTTGCATTAAAACTTACTTCATTTTCAATTTGTTTACCCTCCATTTTAGAGTTAATTTTAATTTCTTCATCCAGCAATCTAACCTTTACAAAATCTATTTTAACATCTGTGACTGTTTCTAGTGCTGTAATTAGTGTGTCAAATTTGGATGGAAGAGACAATAATAAGTGACAAACTTTATCACCTTCATCTATGTTTGGCCCAAAGTCTTTTAATTCTCTTATTATAGTATCAAATTTCAGGAAATGATCTTCCAACTTTTCATTTGTTCCAGACTTTAAATTGAGTAATTTCCTCCATAAAGAGAGTTTAGTGAAAGAACTTGTTCTATTAAACACTGCTTTTAGGGCATTTATTTGTTCTTATGCAGTTGTGCAGTCTTTTAGTATATCTAAATGTTTGTCTGAAACACCTTGAACAATGATAGACTGTGCTTTGGCATCAGCCTTTTTAAATTTATTTTGCACTTCAGCTGTAGCTGTCGCAATTGGTGGGGACTCTAGCGCTTCTTCACAATTCTCACGTTTTAATATTGTATTTATACGAAATTGCCAGTTATTAAAATTGTTTGCTGCTAAAATAGGCACCATCAAATTATAATTTATTCCCGCTATTCTCGTTTTTTAACAGTATTTGTAAAGTCAAAGTTTGCCCGACTTTATTCAAAACTTTTTGACACTTATTAACAACCAGCCACTTTTGCAAATACAACTGGGCCCATAACCTGATGAATAATGTGGAATGGATTAAATAAATGTATTTAATCAACGACTGGTTTTATTAAGTTTTCATAAAGAACAAAAGTGAATTGCACTTTTATTTTAACATCAGTTTTTACAAGTAGTCAAAAACAAAGGTGACATCAGACAACTGACAGAATACAAGTGACATCAATCATAGATCATGAACTAACTAGACATTAACAAATATAAGGGTAGAGGTTACAAAGATACAAGTGAGAATTATATTTAACACGGACAACACTGGATTTTTATAAATATTACAAAAAAGAAAAATAAACTTCAGATTTGAGTAGGAGAAATGTATGTCAAAAGATAAGAGGCCGTTGAAGATAGAAGCCCTATTTTTTAAATGTATTAAAACTGAAAACACACCATAAAACGCATACAGAGTTTTATGCAGGGTGAAAATGAATGTGAAATTAAGTTAAAAAAATAATTATATAGTTAGAAGGCAAAACCATTATGTTCATTTTTGCTAATTTTAACGGCTGTATTTCAAGCTTTTCTATGCAAAACGATATACCTACGTAAATACTTTCCTTACACCGTGCATGTTCAAAACTAGATGACATATTTTTAGTACTTAAAAGTGGACAAAATCACATAAATATTACATGTTTTGCCTTATTTTTACCTTTTTCAACATATCTGGATTTGTTTTCTAACTACAGAATAATGCTGTAAAATTGGAACATGAAAAACCTCTTAAAAATGACAAAGTTGCCCGTCGTATAAAAATATTCACTTCTCTCGTCAATTTGTCTATAATCTTTGTCGTTATCTTCCAAGAAAAGCTGCTACCTACTCTATTTCCGTTTTTTTTTTTTTTTTTAAATAAAATTCAAATAAAATAATTTTAAAAGAAACACAAATAGTCCAGTAACTGAAGAGACCAGCCTGTCATTAAGTCGGTCCAGATTTCCGTTGTGGCTTAACTCTTAGGTCTCGGCGGTCGCTTCTAAGGTCGAAAACTCTGCTGCGTCGGAAAGGGCCCAAAATGGATCCTAAAACTGGTTTCCCGCCAATATCTTCCACAATATGCAAATTAGAGAATTTTTGTTTAGATAAAAAAGAAAGATCTTATCGTTATCTACAAAAATGGTCCCTATTATTTTTGTCGGGAATTCGACAGGTTTCGAGATAACCGCAATCAAAAGTACTCTCGTTCAGCCCCTGCTTTATCTCTATAGCAATGCTGATTAGCTTGTAAACGGGTGGACAAATTGTTTCAGAACTCGGTCAAAAATTGATATTTTTCGATGATTCAAAGTTCATTATAATGGGAAAACCCACAGAGGTATCGATCCATGTGCCTTCAAGCCCGTTATTTCCTGTCAAGAACATTGAAAAAGGGGTCAAAGTTGCGTTTTCCCACTATTTTGGACCACTTTATAGTAATTCATTCATATTTTTTTTCTTTTAATAGTTTTTTATCGCATTTTTGTTTTAAATGGGATCTTGAGATGTCTCGAATGATCTGAGAAATTTTTTTCCAGTATCTTCCTGGCGTTTTAAAACAAAATTGATTTGTTTATTTGCATTTTTCATACGTTTTCGGAGTTCTAGAAATCTTTGAGACAAGCAGTAATTAAAAACTCATATTTCATTATATTGTTATTCAATGCACACCATTTTAAAGCTTAGAGTGTCTACTTTTCGAATGTATTTTTTTTTTTTTAATAAAGTTGCTTCATTTTCCAGAAATCGGGAAAATTGATCACACCGGGGAAAACCGGACTTTTTTTTTTAAATACTTCTTGTTCCCCGCTGTTCATTTTTTGAACATTAATACCCAGACGGAAGTGAAGCTGATATTCTCACCTTTCCATTTCTATCAATTGATCCCCGTATGTGAGCGTGGTTCTTAACTGTTTGTTAGAATCATCTCCCCCATTTTTACGCTCTCCGCCTGAGATCCATGATATTCCATTATAACCTAACCACGTGTACCCACGCGCTCACCTTAATCGTCTGCTTTTGTTGGTATACAATCTCTGTTGTTTTTGGAGTCGTTATCGTCGGTATTATTGATAGTATTTTAGAAAAATATTGTGACAGTATTTTATCATTATCAATTAAGTTGTTAAAAAAAAGTGTTTAAAGTGAAAAATTCTACGTCATTCTTGAATTTTCAAGAATTTGTTTTTCGTGGGGAACAGAAAAGGTTTGGTTGATTTAAAATAAAGTCTATAAATTTGTTGTAATTCTTATTACATTTCAATAATATATTTTTGTAAAGCTCTTGTTGCAGCAATGGAAGCGAACTCCGTTCCAAAATGTTTCCTTTGTGCCCAGGAAGTTGTGGATGACGTTGCAAATGTCACTCGAGGCTTAGAAACATTAATTGATGTGAGCAAGGAACGGGACGATAATTTTCACCTATTCATAAAGAAGCAATCCTCTATAAAGATGCACGAAACCTGCAGGAGAAAATTTTGCAAAAGACGCAGAAAATATAAAGGGTCTTTTCGGGTCAATATTCATCACACTCTAAAACTAGTAACCCACTATTAGGCAAAGCGCCGGGATTTGAGACTGCCACATGAAAAAAAAAAATGTTTTTGCACTTTTCTATTAAATTTTGCAACGCGAATTACACAGAACATTCGCAATATAGATGAGATACCCCAAGCGCTACTTTGCAGAAAAAATCCCGTAGAATCCGCCAATAATTGTCGAAAGATCGATTGGTGCCCGGATTTCCATTCATAGGCCCCATAATTTAGTGAGCAGAGGTACGCCGCTGGCGCCATCTACAATTGGTCTCCAAAGTCCAAAACATGAAAATCAATGTATTCTTAACTCCCTCGAGCGGAAATTCAGTGAGAAACTAACATTTCTATTCAGTGCAAAAATTCGGGCTTTTTCGAAGGCCCTTTTTGCAAAAAATATTCGTCTTGCGAAAAAAATGGTAGGGACCATTTTTGTAGATAATGATACGATCTTCCTTTTTTATCTAAACAAAAATTGTCTAATTTGTATATTTTGGCAGATATTAGCGGGAAACCATTTTTTCGGACTTTAGGGGCCATTTTGAGCCCTTTTCGACCCAGCAGTGTTGGTAAAAGTTTTCGCCCTTGAAAGCAACCGTCAAGACCTAAGAATTGAGCCACAAAGTAAATCTGGACCGACTTAATGACAGCTTTGCATATTTTCAGGTCTTCAGTTACTGGACTAAAATAGAAAGTTCCAAATATAACGACAAAACGTTGACATCTTTTTGACGTTAGATAATCTCAATTAATTTTTTTTTAATCCTCCGATATTGACGATTAGAATAAAATCGGAATAGGAATGATTTTTATTATGGTGCATAACTAAAGATGGTACTAAATGCGATTAAACTCTTAATCTGGATTAAACGTGTACGGTGAATACGACAAGGGAGGCTCCAGGGGGCCATGTCCCCCCCCCTCGAGGCTTGTATGCGAAAATGGAGCACCTAAATCGGTCACTATCTGACGGTCTATTAGGAATTACATGTTGCCAATATTTTTAATGTTTAGGATCTTATAAAAAAATATTTTTACTAAATTGAGGTATAATAAAAAAAATAGTAGTAACATCAAAACGTTTGAAGAAAAAACTTGTAGGCCTGTTCCCCTCGGGGATACAGCGGTGTGACTGATAGTGTAAAAAATATAAAAATTATTTAATTTACACTCATTGATTTTTATCGTCCCACCTTTGATTTAATTGTTGTATTGTAATATATAATTTTATAGATGTATGCAGGCAGCAGTAGAAGATGCTGAATTGTCTGATAATGAAGATGAAACTGATTCAAAGGCTAACAAAAAGGCTAGCAAAAAGGTACAGATTGTTCATGTTTCAAAGAAAGTAATTCACAATGTTAAATGGAAAGAACAAGCTTCTACAAAGTACAAGGGATCTCAATGTTATTTATCAGCAGAAATTGGTAAGATTTATTAAAACTAACATCAAAAACTATTTTTTGGGATAATAACTATCGGGTCGGTAGTGTAGCGGTCTAACGCGCTTATATTCATTTATAGGCAAGTTTATGAGTCTGAGACTGCTGGGCTTCGAATCCCAGCCCAGACCATGTGGATTTTTAATTAAATTGCATGGTTCGGTTTAGGATTTGATGTGTGCCGTATTAATAGAAATTTAATTTCTGTTGATATGACATGCAGATTAAAAAATCGCCATGCATTACCGTCTCGATGATGGTGGGTGAGGTTTTCCGGGTTTCCCTCACCTGTAAGTGAAATGGCACCATCTATCATCTTTGAGTCGCCCCGGAGTGCTACGGCAAATAATAATAATAGCCGTCCCTTCCCCTACACAAGTCGTTTAGTCGACTTCAGGGGTTGAAATTCACTCGTAAGGGGGTGAATTAGGGAGAGTATAATTATTATTATTATATTATAACTATGAACATTGTAATAAGTCGGTGTTGTTACTTTGCAATAAAATGTTAATTTCAAAACACTAATAAGAAATTTTGACTAGCTCATAGAAATTTTACACCAAACATTACTTACCTTTAATCAAATTAAAAAAAAGAAATGAGCACATTGACCATTTAGTTTTCTCAGGCGTGAATCTGGCCTTTTAAATAGAACTTTTGGGGATAATAGTTTTTTGAGAGAGAAGGGCGCCAATGTTTCTCTATTTTATTTTTAGAAAGCTAGTGAGAAATATTAACTCTAGCTTTATCAAAAGGAAATTAATTAAAACTTATATAAAATTTAGGTAAAAGAGAATTGTTGTAATTTAAAAAAAAAAATAAGATTCAACATATATATTATAAAAATTAATTAGTTTATTCAGTAAAAAGCTAGTGAAAATTCTAAGAAACAAATAAATATTGAACTTAAGCTGATAAATTTAAATTTTATATCTAATATTAAAATTAGCCACATATCTGGTTACTACTGTATTGGTTTAGGTGGCAACTTCCTTAGGATACAGTAAAACTTCTGTAATTCTGCTACTCCAGCACGAACACCAAATCTCGTTCTTTCTCCTAAATTTTTGCTTTCAGGAAACTGCTTGAGTTATCTCCAATGTCAAAGATGGAAGATACTCAATTAACATTTTTAAGAGAATAAAATTTTATTTATGTTTTATTAGGATTTTGTAAAAGCATAAAAATTAATAATTATTTTATTACAGTTATTTTTTTTGCTAATAGGACTGCAGGATACAGATCTTATTACTTGGTTTTATAGATTCCTTTAAATCTGTTTAAGAAAACTAGTTTATCCTAAAGTAAACTATGCTTTATCGCTGTCCTGTAAGAGTTAATTAATAAGTAATTTTAAAACGATTTAGTTTTAAGATACTCCTAAGGTGTGTTTGGTGTTAAAGAGGCATACTTTTTAGCAGTTATCTTAAGTAGGTTTAAAACTTAGTTTTAAAAAGTGTTTTAGGATTATACTTTAAATTAAATTGATCCCAGAACCTTTTAGGTACATTTTCTACAATTTTACAACATAACTCTTATAATTTATTTAATCTAGTAAACCTTAGCGCTATTTTAAAACTACATAGTTTTATTAAGAACTAAAGTTTGTTTTAAAGCATAACCTAGGTTTTCAACTCAATCACATTATGTTGACGTTGAAAGATAAATCGTTCAAAATAAAGAAAAGTGGTAATTTCCATAGAGAAAGAAAAAAAATATGTTTCTCCTTCTCCTCAGTGTTTAATAGAAGCTATTTTTGGCGTGCTCCCGTTGATAAACAGTGACACAGAAACCGTGACATGTCAAATGCCCCCACTATTATGTCTCGGTTTCTAAAAAATTCTTCGCAAAAATGAACCGGTTTACGTCAATCGTCAACGTTTTAGATAAACGAGGTTATGTTATGTGTATTTAAAAGGTATTTTACAATAAACAAACTGTGAAAAATCTAATATTGAGGAAGACACACAATTTTTCTTATAAATAACAAATTTAAATAGAATTTAGAGACATTTCAACGAAAACTATTATACATAAAATAAAAATATGAACGCACAAAATAAAATGCAACTCTGACAGCTACCAAAAATTCCAAAACAAAACGGTATTACAGTATTACAGAATGCTATGAACATCAACTGTCACTAAAAACCGTTTGTTCACCACCTCAAGAGGCCGGGAACAGATTCATCACGGCGGTAGCAAACAATGACGTCAGTGAATGACGTCATTACACTTCCCCTTGAGCGGTTCACGTCGCGAAAATGATGCGGGTAATACCGTTTGATCACCGGGAGTTCGCCAAAAATTGGTATAAGTTCATTGTGTTCTATTGTTTAACAAATATCAAAACATTCCTAGGTTCCTAATATTCTGGAAATTATCACTAGTAATACCACTAGAGGTCAAAAAATTTCCTGATATTAATTTGACCTCGCGTGGTATTCGGTAAGAAAATTCCACGCCGAATTATGGTTGAAAATTAAATATTTTTAAAATTTATTTTTCGTTTCTCAACAATGCAAATTATTTTCTCCAAGTCACCAGTGAAACATAAAAGGTGTTGTCGCCTTGATTGTTGAGTTGTCATGGTAACTAAGTGAGACCCTAACCTCGAATATAATTTCAGTTTTGAAGTTGTCAAGCGGCCCGACGTAAAAAAATGTTTCGCTGCAATTATTTAGGCCTTCAAATTGCTTATTTCTACTCATTGTAGTTGCATGGGAATACCATTTGAAAATAGAAAATAGTATATTCTTTAATTTTACGTAAGTTTTGAATAACTACAAGTGGTAGAAAATTGTTTTTCTGCGTTTTTATTAACATGCGTTATGAGCGCTTTAAAATGGTATGAAATTCATAACCAGCGTCAGCAAGCATCAATCGTAGGAGGCTGTGATCATTGTATTTTGACAGTTCAAAACATTAAATAACTTGCGTTTTGTTGCGATAAAGAATATTGCACAGCAAGTAAAACCAACAAAATTACCTATTTGTTTAAAACTGAATCGATTTGAAAATCATACGCTATGCAAAATATGCGTGAAATTGTCTGATGTAATGATCAATCATTGCACCATGACTTACTTAGTCGGATTAATAGAGGAGTGTGGCTCCAACTTGAAAAACGAAAATTTGTTCCGAATTGTCCACGAATATTTGCACCTAAACTAAACAAAATTCAAAGTGCTGAATGGGAAAAAGGTGAATAAATTAGTGTCTAAATATTATATATATTTTATTAGACATAGACACATAATTCAAAGCATCCAAAGTCCTGCATTTTCGCCATTAAGAAGAAAAGAAGTGGCCGAAGAATATAGAAAACACCTTAGCATTGTAACTAAAATGTATCAAAACTAAACCTATTATGTGAACAAATAAAAACCAGTCTGTCAAAAATGGTCTGTTATTGTAAACGTCAAAAAATGTCCAGTATAATTCGCTGTTGGGTACCCCACGAGAAAAAAATTTCCACTAAAATACCTCCGTTGCCATGGTGATCTGTCAAAAACACGTATTTTGATTGGTTCAAAATTACAGGTGTGGAATTTTCAGTGAAAGAAGAAAATGTTTAATATATTATTACTAATTTTTATATTTTGAATGACTTGTTCGTAGAGCAAATAAGAAGCTCAAGAGTGAGGTTAGGTTATGCCCTGAACTTATGAATGTTTTATTGAAGTTTTCGTTTTTACTATTGTTTTATGAAACACTTTAAAAAGTGTAGCAGGAGCTTTTTAAAACTGTAAAGTCCTAAAAAGTATTTTTTTTGCTTTATTAATTTTATAAGCTAATGTCCGATTTTAGGTACAGATGAGGAAATCCATTTTAAATATGGCAGTGGCTGTTTAACCATATATTATGTAAAATAGTACCTGTCTGACAAGTATCCATACAAAGACAAATGTACAATAGGATCATTTATTACGATCCACCTTGCCCACTTTTAACAGTACTTTGGTGTGTGTTTGAAAATTAAAGAAATAAGAAGTGTAGCTAAACCAATTAAACATACACTATATAATAATTAATTTCTAATATGGCAGTCTTCCCAACATGTTTACAAAATCATTCTGTCAGAGAGTATGATAAAACAGAATAAAGCTAAAACAGTTTAAAATTTAATTCTCTTAAAACTGATTAGTTTTGTAAAGTTTTTATGCCTATTCCACTTATTATCATTATCTTAAAAAAGATTTAAAAATGGTTTAATAAAATATACTCTTACGGACTTTGTCTTAAGTCTAATTAGTCTTAAGATATTGTTTTAAAAATACTCCTAAGAACCGTTATAGGATTCTCCTTTTTTACTCTTAAAGCAGATTTATAGTAGCCCTAAGGCTATCTCGCGGATTCAAAAGTTTTATCAGTGTCTTAAAAAAAGGGTTTTATGGTTACCTTTTGTATACTTTGATAAATCTAAAAATGTTACTTGGGTATAGACTTTGAAGGTTAAGTATAAATGCTAATGGTAGTTGTAGCTGCTTCTATTCGCTTTCTAAACAAAAAATAAATTCTGTTTTTCTTGTGGCTCTTGTATGAGATATAAATTAAATTTTAAACAACTACTTTTTAAAATTAAATCAAGATAGCAATAAAAACTAATTACTATAAACAATGTGCAATTCCAGCAACCAAAATGAATTATAAAAGCATATTTAATAAATTTAACTTGACGTTCAAAACAATAAAATAACAGGTTGAAATATAATTTCTACTGAGATATTTTTTATAACATTATATTTTTTTTACTCACCACTTGTACAGCTGGACACTAGTAGATACTACAAGATAATATCGGAAAATAAAATTTTAAAACCAGCAGGCAGATTCCCATTGACAATTCGATATCGAAATACTCGAATTCGACAGTTTGGTGAATTCCGATTTGCGGGAAATCATATTCGCATCGACTAAAACGATTGCGAGTCACTCGCCAGCTCTATGGTGCCGAATTGCTCGATTTCGGTAGATTATTGAGGTTATAGCACGTGGTTGTAGAGGTTGTAGCCTTGTAGCGGTTGTGATTTCTAGTTGAAATTTGAACAGTTTAAAACATTGTCACTGTTGATTATTCTGTGTTATTGATATAAGAAGTTCTTGAGAATTTTGAGAACATAAGTAAAAGGTCTGCCTTAAAAAATAATAATGTAAGCACCTATAATTAACTGTTAACTTAACTTATTGGCTGCTCTTGCGTTAAATTAAATTGTGTGCATAACCATTCCTTTAAGACAATGTCAGTTTGGATGGTATTGTTGACAATTAAAACACGTATTGCGCATGCTTGCTACGAATACTACGGGTTTCGGAATCGACCAAAACGCAGGGCAATTCGATAGCAAATAAGAATAGCAAATTTCTCGATATCGTATTTGGTTGCGAGTATCGAAAGCCATTCGATTTCGCATTTCGCACTGATTTGGAATCTCACTGCTGATGTCGATATCGTCTGCTGTACTGTTTTTTTTTTTCTCCTGGGCTCGTCTGACTGTATCTCTGAATAACACTGAAGCCTATTGGCTTATTGTGTTTTACCCCATGTTAGTTCATAGCACCCACTCTGTCACCTTTGTACCTTAGGTGAGTGGGTTCTATACGTTGTTGGATCAACCTGGGGTTGTCCAAAAAGTGCCTGTCTTTTGCGATCTAGAGCTTCGCATTCGCACAGTATATGTTTGGCCGTTTCTGGTTTCTTGTGACATAGTCGGCACATGAGTTCCCCATTGTACATGCCAATTTTGTTCAAGTGTCCCTTTACTGGGGCGTGCCCAGTCATGAACCCTGTTATCACTTTCAACTGGTTCCTATTCATAAAAAGTAGTTCTCCAGTTCTTTTGGGACATGGTCTGCCTATGAAGTCTTTTCCATGTGCCTGTTTTGGGGTGCTTCCCCAATAGTTAATATGTTGTTCCCGTATCCAGTCATTTATGAAACCCCGGCCTGAAATACCGAGGAATGTATTCCTATAGCATAGCTATGGTTAGTATCAGGGTTTTTGGAGAATACTCCCACCCCAGTGCCTTCCGCAGTCTTAGACCCGTCTGTATACCAGGTTTGTTCCTGTCGTTGGGCATTGGGTTCCCTTATGGTGATCTCCACTCTTTCCTCTATTAAAACCTCAAATGGAGTATTAAAAGAATACTTCTTGGTTATGTGGTCTGATCTCATGTCTAGCACGTCTATTGTCACTAACCTTGAGATACTCATGTAACCTGGCCTAATGTCAAGATTTCCCTAATCTGTATGCACCTAATCTTGCCTCCCCTTTTATCACATAGTGAAGAGGTGGGAATCCTATTAGTGCTTCCATTGCAGCTGTGGGGGTTGTTTTCATTGCCCCCGTTATTACGAAGAAGGCAAGTCTTTGTACCATGCTTAGCCTTGTTATTGCTTTCCTTTGCTGTGTCTTTGGCCACCACACCAAAACTAGGTATGTTATCGGTCTTATGTCTGGTTTTAACCCCCATTTCTTCCAAAGGATCGCCTTGCCATCATTAACGAAGTTTCCGCTTTCCTTGTGGTTAGGTAAGTCTCAATCATAACTCCGAGATATTTTACTTCCCCCTTAAGCTGGATGCTTGCACCTCTTAGGTTTAGAGGCCCTAGTCTCTCCAATTTTCTCCTGCGGGTTTAGTCCTTCCGCCTCTGTCCATTTTGTTACTATATTTAGAGCCTCTTGCATTCGATCTCTTACTATAGTGTTGTATTTTCCCTGTGCCATGATCACTAGATCATCGGCATATCCCACGGTTCTGTCTCTTATCTTTGAGAGCCCTGAGCAGCCGGTCCACTACAAGGTTCCACAGGAGTGGATACAGCACTCCACCCTGCGGACATCCTCTCGCTACCCGTGCCACTATTGTCTCCCCCATAAGGGTTGTGTGTATAGTTCTCTCCCTTAACATAGAGTCGATCCAGGACACACGCACGTGTCCTCGATTCCTCTGTATTTGAGAGATCTAATGATCGATTCAACGGAAGTATTGTCTAATGCACCCTCGATATCCAAGAATGCTTCTAGCATTACTTTTTTTCCAGTGTATTCGCTGTCCCTTTTATTAATTGATAGAGAGCTGTTTCAGTTGATTTCCCTGCACTATTGGCGTATTGGTCTTGGTATATTGGCCTCTGAACCAATATCCCGTCTCTACTATGCCTATCTAGCAATTTTCCAAAATCTTAAGTACAAAGGACATAAGACTTATTGGTCTTAGGGACTTTGCCGTTTCCTGTCCTATTTTCCCAGGTTTCGGTATAAAAGTTACCCTAATATTTCTCCAAGCTTTTGGTATGTGTCCAAAGGCCAGGCTACTTCTGAGTATGTTACAGAGTCTGCTGTATAAAATATCAGGATCTCTTTATAACATTATTGGATAAATCCCGTCCATGCCCGGTGATTTATATGGTTCGAATGAGCTAATTGCCTATTTCAGTTTATCGTAGTTCACCACTTGTTTGGCTATCCTCCAATCTTCCCTGTTTGGTCTATTATGAGTTCCAGTCCGTTTAGATTCCGGTTAGCCGGTGTGTGCTATGGTTTGTGCACCAAGGAAGTGAAATCTGAAGAGTTCCCTTACTGTTTCCTTCCCAGTGATTGTGTGCTCCCCCAGTTCAATCTTAATGGTATTTATTGTGTGTTGTTTGTCTTTTGAGAGAATTTTTTGGAGCCTGGCACATTCTTCAGTACCTGCTATCTCCTCACAGTGCCTTCTCCAAGACTCTCTCTTGACTTTTCGTAAGGGTATGTTGTAACAGGTGCGTATGGTTCCATATAGTTCCTATTCGCCGATTATTTTAGCCTGATTAAATTTTTGTCTCACCAGTTTCCTTAGTGTAGCAAGGTCATCATTCCACCATGAAACTTTCCTGATAGAGTTCCTTGCTATTAAGAGACAGGTATCGTTGAAAACGCTAGTGACTGTGTCATTAAACTCATCCACAGGCATTTCTAGGTCGGTTGTTGTTCTTATCGTCTTTCTCATCTTCGGAAGATTACATTCCAGGGAAGCTTTGTATGCCTCACAGTCTGTTTTCCTGGGATTCCGATAAGTTCCCTTTTCAGTATTACCTTTAATATTGAAATTTATGTGTCTGTGATCTAATAAACTCTCTTCGTCAGACACATGCCAGTCTGTAACAGAATTACTCAAGTATGTTGATGCTATTGTTACATCGAGTACCTCCTTTCTGTTTTTGTTATAAAGGTCGGTTTTTGCCTACATTTGTTATGTCTAAATTATTTTCCATAATAAATTGTAGTAGACTCACCTCTTTCGTTGGTATCGGTGCTCCTCCAGATCTTGTGCATCACAGCCAATGATCATCTGCATTCTGTTGCGCCTGCAAAATTTCACCAGCTCCTCCACTTCTTTGGTAGGTGTTGCTTCAGGATCATCTGAAGGTAGATATGCTTTACTGTACTCCCACTTCACGAAATTACGCTTTTTTGGGAATATTGCGAATATTTAAATTATTCGAATACTAGTTTATACAGGATGTCACACAATTAAAATAACATTTTTAAATGGAATTTTAAAATGTTACATCTAAATTGTGACGGTGCATTCTTATCCACAATATCTTTATTATTACATTGCTGAGTTAATGCTTGTTCACTTTTGAGGAAGTGTGGGTTTCAGTCAAAATTCCGACATTCCCTCTAAATCATCAGTGAACGTTTTTAAATCTTTATGCGCATCTGCTAAAGAAGTCTGAATTTATAAATGATAAATTTAGAATTCTAGGAAATTAAATGATGAAATAAAATGGTATGATCTCAATATCCTGTTTTTGTACAATTTTACAATTTCCGTAGATAAATAAATAAATATTTATAATCAATTTTTTTAAGGAAGAAAATTTACTGTTGAAGTGGGTGACTTTGTGACACTTAGACCGGAAAATGAAAAAGATCCCTTGTGTATTGCCAAAATTATCTACATGTATGATAGATTTCCGCAAAAAAATGTATTTCATGGTCACATATTTTGTCGTGGAACGGATTCAATTTTAGGAGAGACAGCAGATCCAAGAGAACTTTTTGTAATAGACGATTGTGACGAATTACTGCTGGGTAGTATTGTAAGAAAAGCAACAGTAAGTTTTCCGAAAGTTGGACTTATTAATCTAAAATATTTAATTATATCCTAAAAATAAATCAACAAAAATAATTAAAATTGAAAATCACTCTTCTTCGTTTTTTAAGGTATATTATTTCTTTTTAGGTGGAATATCGTAAAATTCCAGACAATTGGGCTAAATTAGGTGGAGAATTTGGTTTAGAAGATCCTTTACAAGACGATGGTGAACATTTCTTTTTCACAAAAAGACTAGAGGATAATAGATTTGTAGATTTAGACTTTAATCCTGAAGTTTATGTTGAAGGTTGTGATTCTTGCAGGTAATGTTTAACTGTTGTTTTTTTGTTCTCAAGTTTTTTATAAATAAGATTGCTGCACTAGACCACATTAGTGATTACACCATAATTCTCAAAATGTGCTCGAATGTATGCAAAGTATAATTTTTTGAAGCTAGAACATTTTTAATATTGATATTCCTTACTACAGTGTGTCGCATTTAAGATGAAGACACCCATATATTTTAACTATCTAAGTAAATAGAGATTTGAAATTTTGCACAGTCATACAGGGTGATGGTTCACAGTTTTTAAGATACTTAACTGAAATTTTAAACACGGCCTACTGCGAATCCACAAACAGAGTCAATTTTCGATATTTTTCTTCGCGTTAGAGATGTCAGAAAAAGTTATTTGAAAAAGTTGTTCCGAATATTATTACTAAACCCACATACCAAATTTCATGACAAAATTCGCACTTTTAGTTTTTTCATTATTTTGGTCAATACACAAAATTATTAAAAGTGGATTTTTTTATTCGATAAACTAGTGTGTTATGGAAAGGATTTCAAAAGTGTCAAATTATTCCTATTCATGGCACACTAGTTTATCGAATAAAAAAAATCAACTTTTAATAATTTTGTGTATTGACCAAAATAATGAAAAAACTAAAAATGCGAATTTTGTCATAAAATTTGGTATGTGGGGTTAGAATAATATTCGGAACAACTTTTTCAAATAACTTTTTCTGATATCTCCAACGCGAAGAAAAATATCGAAAATTGACCCTGTTTGTGGATTCGCAGTAGGCTGCGTTTTAAATTTATATTTCAGTTGAGTATCTTAAAAAAGATGAACCATCACCCTGTATGACTCTGCAAAACTTCAAATCTGTATTAATTTAGATAGACAAAATATAGGGGTGTCTTCATCTTAAATGCGACACACTGTATAACAAATTGAAACCTTATGTACTGTATAAAATAAGATTAAGAAAATATAGCTTTTGTTTTTATTGAATTATGCACTTACACAATAGTATATTGTGTTACAAGGGCAGAAAATGAGCTTTAGCAGCTATTAGCTGCATGAGCGAGCGAAGCGAAGCGAGGGTAGCTGATAGCTAAGGGCTGCTAGAAAGAAAGCATGCTAGGTAGATCCGACGATAGGAATTGGATAGACAGGTATCTACTCTATCAGTCTTACAACTTTTGCTATTGTCCGTCCTAGCAGGATATTGCTCTAAGCAGGAACAAATGCTCCTGTCCTGGGCGATTTGAACAAGGAGAACAAACTCATTTCAAGGCACTTCAAGAAAAATCGTGCAGTCTCAGTCCTTATTAGATTGTGTGTGGTCAATCCTCTTGAATGAACTGGTATATATTGCCTATCCTCTATATTTAGAACTATTTCTGCAAAAAATTAACGTTTTATTACCAAGATTAAAATAATTAAATAACAGTTCTTGAAACTAAGGCACAGTTCTATTGATGAGGCTGAAGCTAGCAGACAAACTAGCAGACAAACCGCGCGGCGGTCCCCAAATGTTTTGATGTTGTTATTCGGCAAAATCTTTGGTTTAGGTGGATTTTAGTATCATGAAAGTTTAGAAATAAATAAATATTAGTGTATTTATTGAAAAAAATGGATTAATTCAATTTGAATTATTAATTAAAATAAGATAATCTTACACAAAGACGGGGAAGAAACAAACACATTTACAATGCGATTATAAATATAATTTTTATACCAACTATTCAATAAGTTTTTGTTAATTAAATAAACAAAAAATTATGGCCGAACAATGATTTAAAATATATTTGTTTGGTCTTTTTAAAGTCAGGTGTTTTGTCGTCAAACGACTATAAGAATTAAGAGTCCAAAAAAAAACACATTTAGCACGAGATTACAAATACAATTTTTATACCAATAATTTAGTACACCATAGCTATAAAATAAATAAAAAATCATTAAATAGCAAGACCTCTAATTACATTTTTTAGATCTTTAACAATGCGTGGTTTCGCGGAAAAACATTTTATCTGAATTTTCGTGCTAAATATTGATTTTTGTCATTTTGATAAAGTAAGGTTTATCCGCAAAATCGCGCGATTTTAAAGGCCTAAAAAACATATTTAAAGGTCTTGCTATGTAATGATTTATTATTTTTTTGAATTATTGTAATGTATTGAATCATTCATACTAAAAATTATACCTGGATTTTCGTGCTAAATATTGGTTTTTGTCATTTTGATAAAGTAAGGTTATTCTGCGGAACCGCGCTTTTCAAAAGACCTAAAAGACCTATTTACAGGTCTTGCTATGTAATGATTTATTATTTTTTTGAATTATACTAATGTAAAGAGTCATTCAGATTAAAAATTTTATCTGAATTTTTGTGCTAAATATTGGTTTTTATCATTTTGATAAAGTAAGGTTATTCCGCGAAATCGCGCTTTTCAAAAGACCTAAAAAACCTATTTACAGGTCTTGCTATGTAATGATTTATTATTTTTTTGAATTATACTAATGTATGGAGTCATTCTTACTAAAAATTTTATCTGAATTTTCGTGCTAAATATTGGTTTTTGTCATTTTGATAAAGTAAGGTTTATCCGCGAAGTCGCGCGATTTTAAAGACCTAAAAAACATATTTGGAGGTCTTGCTATGTAATCATTTATTATTTTTTTGAATTATTATAATGTATTGAATCATTCATACTAAAAATTATGCCTAGATTTTCGTGCTAAATATTGGTTTTTGTCATTTTGATAAAGTAATGTTTATCTGCGGAATCGCGCTATTTTAAAGACCTAAAAAACGTATTTGGAGGTCTTGCTATGTAATGATTTATTATTTTTTTGAATTATAATGTATTGAATCATTCATACTATAAATTATACCTGGATTTTCGTGCTAAATATTGGTTTTTGTCATTTTGATAAAGTAAGGTTTATCCGCGAGATCGCGCCATTTTAAAGACCTAAGAAACATATTTGGAGGTCTTGCTATGTAATGATTTATTGTGTTTTTGAATTATACTAATCTATTGAATCATTCGTATTAAAAATTATATCTAGAATTTCGTGCTAAATATTGGTTTTTGATATTTTGGTAGAATAATGTTTTTATGCGAAACCACGCATTTTTAAAGATCTAAAAAATGTAATTAGAGGTCTTGCTATTTAATGATTTTAATTTATTTTATAGCTAGTGGTGTACTAAATTATTGGTATGAAAATTGTATTTGTAATCTCGTGCTAAATGTGTTTTTTTGGACTCTTCAATTCTTATAGTCGTTTGACGACAAAACACCTGACTTTAAAAAGACCAAAAAAATATATTTTAAATCATTGTTCGACCATAATTTTTTGTTTATTTAATTAACAAAAACTTATTGAATAGTTGGTATAAAAATTATATTTATAATCGCATTGTAAATGTGTTTGTTTCTTCCCCGTCTTTGTGTAAGATTATCTTATTTTAATTAATAATTCAAATTGAAATAATCCATTTTTTTTCAATAAATACTCTAATATTTATTTATTTCTAAACTTTCATGATACTAAAGTCCACCTAAACCAAAGATTTTGCCGAATAACAACATCAAAACATTTGGGGACCGCCGCGCGGTTTGTCTGCTAGTTTGTCTGCTAGCTTCAGCTTCATTTCTATTGAATATTCGACGTTTTTATTTTTTACATGTGTGTAAAGCATAAATGAATATGCTTTGTAAATTAGGCTATTAATATAACAATATAAAAAAAATCATTAATTTCTATTTGAACAACCATATAATTATTTTAAATCCCTTTTTTTTTCAGGCGACAAGCTATAGAAAAACAATTCAATACCCCCACCCTTGTCGAGAAATGTATTAAATGGAAAAATGAAGATTATGAAGTGGGTATGGGTGTATTTTTGAATCCAGATGTGTATGTTTTTAAAAATGAAAATGAAATAACTGTGGATAACGTAAGTAACATCCATTTTTTTTGTTTTTGTAATTCAGTATTTAATTATACTCTGGGAGTGTTTCATTTAAAATTCCAAATGAAAATTCAATGAATTTCTTAATACCATAATCGTAACATCTTAATCTGTAAAAGTTTAATCGCAATGTGAGTACAACTTTTATTACTTGATTATGTGTATAAAAATGTAAAGTCTATTGTAACATTCACGGTTTAAGTGTTCATCTCGATCATGTACATTTCTTTAAGTACGACTATGTGCCTAAACATAGTGGACTGTGATATAGGTGAAGAATTACCTGTGTAATATCTTCGCTGGTCCTGAAGAATATCATTCTTACTACATAACGTTGCTGACTTTAATGATATAATAAAATTCAGATGTTACTGTTCACTCTATTTTTAATTTTAACTTGTTTTAAAGTTCAACAACTAAACATCACAACAAAGTATTACATACTTGAAACAATAAAAATAAGTTCGGTAAGTCAATTTGTCCAGAACTAATTACTACATCTTAACGATAGAAAAATAAAAAGCCGACCGGCTGTATCTATTTTGGGTAGCATTATTGCCTTATTCATTACATATAATGTTTGAGAAATGAAATAAGTCTTTGTTCTAACGTGGTTAGTGAACCGGCTTGTGTTGTAGAAGCACGAAACATAGCAGTGGCAGTAAATTGAGTTGTGTCTGACGACTGATGTGTTGCGAGAAGCTCAAAGCGTTCTATCGATAAATTATGTGTTTGTGAGAAGTTCAAGTACACTCTGAGGCTTGCCGGGTTGCTTCGCCTTTTATATATCGTTCCAAAATTTGCAAGCAGCATGGGTCACATGAGCTTCCACCGGTGGGACGTTGACGTCACAACTGCATATTACTGCTTCTCGTTTAGCATGTGAGTGAGATGGATATATCACGATTAATCAACTGGGTACTTTTGCTAATTCAAACACAAGGTTGACTTGCAGATTTTAGCGTATTATTTCCAATACACATATTTAGGGATATAGGTTAGATTAGGAGTTGGACGTTATTTGTTCTTGTCTACCGCGACCTTTTCAGATCTATTGTGGGACTCCGTTTGTTTTAGAGTATGTCGTCTAGCCTGGTCTTTTTTATTAGACTTAGTAGCTTTGACAGTGGCTCCCGCATGTAGTTGCATGCATTTGGCTTTTCTTCGCCCAATATTAGAAACCTCATTCCAGCCAGGCCTTCACATTGGCAAAGGACGTGGAATGATGTTTCCTCTTCTTCTTCACAGAACCTGCACAAAGTTGCTTCTTCTGCTGAATTTATGACACTTATGTGCCTTTGGAGGCCTACTATTATCCTAACGATTTGACGCTTTTGATCCAGTAGGTATTTCGTGAACTTACCCGGTGGTTCCTTGATGAACTGTTTGGCCTGTCTCAGTCTTGGATAGTTGTTCCACCATTCCTGAGACTCTTTTTGCATCCATTGTTTAATGAATGGCCTTGCACAATGCCTTAGCAATTCCACAGAAGGGTTCGGGGCCTGTCATGGCCTTATCTGAGCCTTCTCGGGCTAATTCGTTGGCCTTTTCGTTGCCCTGATATCCCTCATGGCTTGGCACCCAGGCTAGGGTCACCTTGTTTTGACTACTTAGCTCTGCCAGGTCTTCTAGACAGTCTTTCACCAGTCGTGATTTGATTTCTGGTGAGAAAATTGCCTTTAGAGATGCTTGGCTATCAGAGTATATGGCAGTAGTTTTGCCTGATACTTGCTGATTTAGTATTTCTCTTGCACATTGTTTTATGGCTATTAGTTCAGCCTGGAACACTGTTGCATATTTTTCTAAACTCAGCGAAATCGTTGTTTTCGATTTGGGTCCTTAGATTCCAGCACCGGCTTCTTCCTTGGTTTTTGAACCATCTGTGCGTGTACCAGACGAGTTCAGCCTGTACGAGAGGTCCCTGTTTCCAGGATTATATAGGCATAGCTAGAATATTCTTCCTTTTTAATTGCTGATATAGCCTTTTGTGGTCGGCGCTATGTAGTTGGCTTATTGGGTTTTGTCCCTGCATTAGCCTGTGAATAGCTAACCTGGTTTCTCCTTGTATGAAGATGTGCAGTGGGGTGAGATTTAATAATACCTCCATTACTGCAGTTGGCGTAGTGCGTATGGCCTCAGTAGCACTTAGACAGGCGAGCTGCTGAATGCCAGTGAGTTAGCGTATTGCACTTGCCTGCGCAGTTTTGGTTACCCACGCTACTGCGCCATAGGTTATCATGGGTCTTATCACCCTTGTGTATAACCATGTGGTCATTTTGGGATTTAGACCCCAGTTTTTCCCACATATTTTTCTACAGCTTACAAGAGCTATTGCAGCTTTGTGTGAGTTTTTTGAGATGTTGATTCCACGGCAACCTTTGGTCAAATATGACTCCGAGGTATTTGGCTTCTGTGACGAATGGGATAACTGTGTTGTTTAGTACTAGTGGACTTTTTTGTGAATTGTACAAGTGGTGTTTTTTGTGCGTTAATGGAAAATTGTTCCTTTTTGCACCAGTTGTTTAATATGTTTAGAGCTGTTTAAGATCGCTCCGAGACTGTGCCTGCAAATCGCCCCCTGACGAAAATTGCTAAGTCGTCTACGTATCCTAGGCACTGGCAGCCTTCTTTGGACAATGTTTTGAGTAAGTCGTCCACAAGAACTGACCACAGCATTGGAGATAATATTCCTCCTTGTGGGCAGCCCTGTGTAACTTTTGCCGGTATGGTTGCCTTTCCTAGAGTGGATAAAATCATCCTGTTCTCTAGACAGGCAGTGATCCATTGGCATATTATAACTGGGACGTTTCTCTCTTCTAGAGCCTTGGTTTGTTACGTTTCTTTTGCTGCATAAAATAATACCAGTTATAAGTGCCTAGCTCAGCTCAGTATATGGGGTGGTTCATATACAAATTTAAAGAAAATGATTATTTAACCCGGCGCCAAGTAATTTGAGCGGCGATGGAAAATTTAAAGACAATACTAAATTACTAAACTTACTCTCTTTAGTGAGACTTCTTGTGTAAGGATAAAAATAAATAATAAGAGGTAGAATTTCAATAAAGCCAAAAAAAAATATATATTAACTTTTCTTCAAGATTTATAAATATATTAAGATTGCCCTAAACTCTTGCAAGAGTAGCTGATTTTGGGAATCAAGACAAACTTAAACCCCAAAAATAACTCTATCCCAAAACCAGTTACACAGTTAATAATGTAGAATAACTAAACTTAAATACTATTTATAGAAAATAAATAATAATAAAATGATTCCCACAGCGGGGTACTTATTTTTAAAGGTTCGAATTCCCTCTAAGCCAAATCCACAATAAAAAGCCTCTTGGTATTTTGTTTCAATCACAAAATTCTGTTTTACAGTTCAATTGTTCTACCAGCAGTTGGAAACAATAATTTATCGTTCTTGAAATCAGAACCGGTACCCAAATAAACGTCTAAAAAAAATAGGAAAACCTTTATTTAGCATTAACGAAAACTTTCTATTTATTATTAGTAAATTTAAATAATTTTAAATTAATGGGTAACGCAAATTTTACTTTGTAATAATTGAGTACTAACCTCCTACACAGTTATTCCAAAAATAATTCCTTATTGTAGAGACGTTTTCATCAAAATGATGCGTAACAATTAGTGTTGATAACAAAATACTTGATATGGTAAAAACCGTTTCATGGGATTGGGTATACACCACGGATGATCCAGAATCTGCTATGAATAAATTTGTAAATATACTATCCAATATTATACAAAAAAGTACTACTTTTAGAAAATTTAATAGAAAAACTAAAACAATTGCACCATGGATCACAAGTTCACTACTAGATATGATAAATAAAAAAAACAAAATATTTAAACAATTACAGACAACACCAAATAATTTACAGACAACACCAAATAATTTGCAATTAAAAAATAAGTATAAGAGTTATCGAAACGCATTAACAAATAAAATTCAATCCACTAAATTTAACTATTTTAAAAACCAAATTGATTTAAATAAAGGCAGTTCTAGCGAACTATGGCGCATTGTCCAAAGTCTGAGTGGGAGCACAAAACTCCAAACTAAAATTGAAAAAATTAAAAATGAAGATGATGAAATGTTATTAAATGCTAACGACATCTGCAATGAATTTAATGTACAGTTTGCTAAAGTGGGAAAGAATTTGGCAAACAAAATTGTAAATGATAATTCTCATAAGTTTAACTAAAACTACACAAAATAATTCAATGGTGTTCCTAGAAACAAATGAAGTTGAAGTTTTAAATCTGATCAAGGCTTAAAAAATAAGAAGTCGCCGGGTTGTGATGATATTTGTGCAGAAGTTTTAAAAGTTGTGGCATCTTATATAGGAAATCCGTTAACATATATACTAAATAATTGCATTAAACAAGCTATTTTTCCAACAGCCTTCAAAACCTCAATCGTAGTACCTATCTTTAAGAAAGGTGATACTGCTATATGTAGTAATTACAGACCAATTTCCCTATTGACTCACTTATCAAAAATTTTTGAGTCGCTAATAAAAAATAGACTCAATTATTTTTTAAACAAATACGAAATTTTATCACCCATGCAGTTTGGTTTCAAAGAAGAAAAATCTACAGATGATGCCTTATTAGCTTTGATAACTCAAATACATCAAAGTCTGGAGCAAAATCAACCATGTTTATGTCTATTTCTAGATCTTAGTAAGGCGTTTGATACCGTTGATCACCACTTGCTCATACAATGTCTAGAAGACATAGGAATAAGAGGAAACTGTTTATCTTTATTTAAAAGCTACCTAACCAATAGATACCAGACTGTAAGAGTAAATGGGGGAAACTAGTAGTCAACAGATAATTGAGTACGGAGTACCTCAAGGCAGTGTCTTAGGACCCATACTGTTCAATATATACATCAATGGTCTGTTTTCCATCGAGAGCAGAGGTAGTGTTTTAGGTTTTGCAGATGATACTGCAATTTT